TCCACCTCTGACTCTTCACATTCTCTCCTGTCTGCTTCTGTTATTTCCGAGTCATATCATGCTCACCGGTTTCCTGAACTAGAAGAAATTATTGGCTACAAGTTCAAGAATCCTTTTTTACTCCTACAGGTATGAAGTTAGTCTCACGACTTCGTCAGTTTAACTCAAAAGGAGCGTCTGTACTCAGTATTAATAGATTGGGTGCATTTTAGGCCTGTACCCATCCATCTTACTACCAGCTGCGACGTCCAGTGCACAGCCTGGGGGCTTATACCTCGGCTGATTGTGAACTGCCGCCACAGACCACGGATGTAGAGTGTTATCAAAGACTCGAGTTTCTGGGTGACGCCGTCCTCGACTACTTGATAACCCGTTTCCTCTTTGAGGATTCCCACAACCACTCTCCGGGCGTATTAACCGATCTTCGGTCTGCTCTGGTTAACAATAATATCTTCGCCGCATTGGCTGTAAGGATCGGGCTCCATCGCTTCCTGCGTGCGTCTTCGCCAAGTCTCTTCCATACAATCGATGCTTTCGTACGTTTTCAGAAAGAAGTCGCAAATGACGACCTCGATTTTATTACCAGCCAGGTATGTTATGCGAGTACTTTGCTGCTCTTTTTAATATTTAAAACAGCTTTAGGCTCTGTTTTGATCCCTTACACGCAGTTTCGCCTGTCTGCTGCGTTTTTTGCCACAGTTTGTCTAAGTCCTTGGTTCTTTATAAGCAAGCGGCGCATTAGATATACATCAATATCAATTGGCATAAAGCAGCTATCGAAATACGTTCGAGTTTGTCGAACTTGAACTTAAAGGGCGTGACGATGCTTTCTCTAGACATTTCATCGCGGTTTGCAAACTTCCCAGCCGCCGGGACAGTTGGTTACATCTCCGAATTCCTATACACAAATCTGCTGGAAATATGAATACCGGCAAATGCAATAAAGAAACTATTAATAAGACGCACACCAAGTATCAGTGTCAGTGTGCAGTTATAAATATAAATATACGGTTTTGTTATGGGCTCGCCTCTTCGACCTCTCCTAGCTGACGTATTTGTGGGCAAAATAGAGAAATTTCAACTAAGCAATCAGATCAATAAGTTAAGACACACTGGTTGCTACGCTAATGACGTCTTTGCAATCGCCGCAACCGAAACCGATATAGATGCACCTGTAAATGCTGTCAACCAAGAAAATCCGTAAATTAAGTTCACTTTGGAGGTTCGCTTCCTTTCTTGGACGTCCTCCTACGTCGCAGACCTGATGGTAGCGTCTTAAGGGCCGTTTATCGAAAGGGAACCTGGTTTGGACAATATACAACTTTAACAGTTTCTTGGGATGCCTGCCTTCCAGATTATACGAAAGTTTAGTACCCCTCTAAAGGGCTAGAAAAGTTTGCTCGGCGGACAGTATTGAGGAGGAGTTATAGAAAATCTGGGACCTGCTTCACGAGAATGGGTATCCTGAGATATTTATTACAAACAAAATGGTTGAGAAACAAAAAGCACCCATCATACTTTATGCGGAAAAGAAAACACTATTCCTCAAAGTCCCCTTTCAAGGGGATGTAGCAAGTAAACTCCTGAAAAGACGCCTTGACCAAGCCGTGTCACGGATCTTCCCAGCAGTGAGAGCTCGGACAATATTCTCAACCAATCCGGTTTTGCACTGGGAAGGTTGGGATAGTTTCCCAGCTCATACCACCGCCATGTGCATCTAATCCTCCGGAGCAGGTTGTATTAGTCGTACGAGTCGACGC